TTATCCACTCTGATTTCGTAAGAGCGTAGAATGGAAAATTTTGTACCGTCGAATTATGTCGGCAATCAGTCGTTCAAAGTTCAGATTCTAACACTGATGACAATTGGTGATCTTTTTCATATTCTTTTCGTACGTCAACGTTAATTATAATTCGGGAATTTCGATCCATCATCCCGCATTAATTCTAATTGAATTTAAGCCAATAAAAAATAATAACGTTTCTCTCTCAAATATCTGACCGGAGAGACGTTCGTTCCCATCGTGGTTCCATTTCTCAAATGGCGAATATAAATAAAAGGGTTCACGTTGCGTGATTTAAGAGGATTACGTTTCCCAAGAAGTGGTCCATAGGGAGAGTCACGAAGAGTTGCTCTCCCTCTCCTCTAAATCGCGAGGGACTCTCGCGTGACATTCTAAAATAACCTGCTGTGAAACTGTGAAACTACGAGGAAATCATTAGCGTCATAGTGGGGTCATATGATAGTCATCGGTAGACCGTAACAAGACGAAAACAACATTCGGCACGTATCATGCATCACATAGACACGATAGTGTTCTAAGCAACAAAAAAATATTTCATTTACGTAGAGTTATCATTATCAAATATATAAGTATAACGATAATAACGATAATAACGCGGTTGTTACTTATCCCTTTTACATGGACTTTCTGTCACGTAGTCACTACATCGGACAAGAACTCTAATTCTTTGTTATCGCAATATTCCTCTGACATAAACAAGTTTTTTTCTCGGTTTACGAAACTTTTTAATTCATGTGTGGAGATTAAAAATTCAACATGTTTTTGCGCGTGAGATTCATGAATATTTTTCATAGTACACCAAGTTGAGAATCTGAATAATTTTACAGAGGGTAGAATTAGTGGTGCAGAGACATTTCTCATAGAATTTGAATTACTTTTGCGAGCATTCGAAATCGAATTATGAGGTATTGGAGAAGAAAAAATTCGATTAAACTCCAGTAAGTAATCGAACTTTCAATATTAAATCTTATATCATTAAAACTAATTAATTAAATACAAAGTATTTTCTTTAAAATCTGTAAGAAATATAATTGTAAGCAATTATATCGCCAAGAAAAGATTTATTAGGCAGTAAGAGATCAATTGCAGTTCTGTATAAAATGACAAAATAGCAACCTGCTCAGATTAATTACACTTTATATAAAATAGCAAAATAGCGACATCTGCTGAGACTAATCAGAAAACTTAATATTATAAGAAATAAAGACGTATAATTGCGACATAATGCGTTTTCGATTAATCTTGTCACAATGTAGCGTATTTATGCAAGCAAAAAGTTACTGTGTGTCTCGCCAAGTGATCGATAGAGGTCGACAAGGGGATGAGCAGGGGAAGTAGAGATTAATATGTCAATTAGAGTGTCTGCTGTGACAGTTATTTCTCTGTATAAGTGATGATATGAGCGAGGGGAGTTCTCTCCTTTCTAGCCACATATGCATAATCTGCATAGTCTGCACAGGATGTTCAGCGGCGTTATCTGTCAAAGACAGAATCAGAAAGAGGAAAAGAAAAGAGTTCGGCTCGATGTCATCGGTTGACGTCATATCCTTCTTAATTCTAACTGGGACGTTTATTTCGACTTAATGTTAATTTTCCTGTAATTATGTACAAATTTTTCATGACTGGGAAATTGCGATAGACGCTAATTTCTCTTGACATTTGCGATAACCCGACTCCAAACTAGTCAAGATGATACTCGTTAAAAGATGATGTGGCAGAAATGAAATACTGTGTATATATATATCGCGATGATTACGCGTGCACGCATGACCAACAGAGGACTTCTGAAAAGTTTTCTTTCTTAATTGCTCATATATCGCGACTTGACGTTGACAGCGTTACGCATATGGTCAGCTGAGTAAAACATGAGAGATTAAATTTTATTTCTACAAGACCCAGTTTTGCCAATGTAAGATTAACTTTAATCTCGATTTACTTTTTATCTTTTTTTTAGAATTAGATACCCTGGTTTCTTTCTTTTTCTAATTGTTAGAAATAAGCACTAAGTTAAACAAAAAGATTAAAGTTAAATCTTACATTGGTGGAACCGAGCCTAAATTGAATTAATAAATTCAGAGAATTAAATAATAAATTTACAGAAATTTATTCATTATATTCAAGTATTTAACATAATTTAATTTCATCTATAATAATTTAGAATTCGTCTATGGTAAATTTTTTATGATTCTCATGTGTTAATCACAAAAAATACTACAGAATGATTTTGTTGAAATATCTGAAAATTTAAGTAAATACAGATTTGAAAATAATTATGTATGACACTCAAGCTGGTTTTTAGAATTTTATTGTTGAATTTTGATTTCTATAATTTGTGTTATCACACATACACGGTCCTATAATATATTATGTTGTTTCATAATGATTGACGAAATATTAATTTCTAAATATTGCCGAATAAGCATATCCAGTTGCCTAATCAACGAAAATTACAAAACGATAGAAGACTTTTCGACTCAATTTTTAATCAGGAAGCGCTATATGATTAGTGTCTGCTATTTAAGAAACACCTTGAAGATTGCTTTCTGTTCTCAAGCATCTAATGGCGAATTCAATTGGACGCACTAACGTATATTAAAGCCGTTGTATACTGATTTAATTTAAATGTAAAAATGAAATGGGAATATTTCGAATTATAAAATATATATAATATTTTACTTAACAGCATCATAAAGTATATTGGCTTAGTTTATTTCGTGCACTTGATATGGGTACTAACTAGTAATTTTCTTGAAATTATCTTAATTTCGGCGATACGTGTAAACATATACATGTATATGTATTTAATTAATCATTTTGATGCATATTATATCAATTTTTACATCATTCTTTGAATACATCGCTGAAATTAAAATAATTTAATAGAAAGTTACTAATTAGTACGTGTATGAAGTGTACGATATAAACTAAGCCATTGAGTATTTCACGATTTAATCGGTTTTTATATTTATTTATAAACGTATACCGGTATATATTTACATTAACTTTTGTACGACGGCACCAGTACGCACTGATTGTAAGTTCCAACCGAATTCGCTATAAGGCTTCTCGTACATCGAGTACATAACCGAAATTATACGACGTGTCATTAAATTCGATTGGAGGATACTTAATCGTGGTTTAATCGTGGAAAAACCTCGCGCGTCACTACCATATAGAAATTCTAAGAAACAGCTTTATTTCCTGTGCAAATGTACTTTGTACGTAAATGTTTAGATACTTCCTGCCCAAATCGGCTCAAAGTATTGTATGCATATCGTATGTCACATCCGGAAGTATTAATCATCGCTTAAATATCCATGAAATTTAGGCGCGATAAAAAACGTACTGCTTATTTGTTTAACCGAGTATAACACGAAAATTTTATATATCGAAGGCTGCAAAAAACGTTCACCGTAACTAAATATGTACAAGCTGATGACATGGAAACGATCGCGGAATAATTTCCGCGTTTTCATATCGACAGTACTTCCAATTGCATGATTCGCCACGAGGATTACGCGACCGGTTCAAGAAATGTATCGTGCAAGTTGCGTCAAGATTGCATACTCATCATCGGGATTGCATTGCATTCGTGCAGGTTGTGCGTCTCGCTAAAAAAAAAATGCCGGATAAATGTTTGCGAGCACGGAAAGAATAATTGTATTGATAGTTTTAGGTCTAAAAGTTTTCATTCCAAATTTCTTGCAGTGAAATCTCACTCCAAGAGAGTGAAAATGTAATCATTCTTGAAAAAAAGTGAAAATATTTTTGGAGAAAAAGTGACAATCTTCACTCTTTTTAGAATGAATTTTCATTTCAAAAGAGTGAAATCTCACTTTAAAAAAAGGGAGATTCACTCCTTTGAAGTGAAAATTCACTCTTAAAGGATGAAAATTATCACTCTTTTTCAAGAAGTGAAAATTTTCACTTTTTTTCAAGGGTGGTTGCATTTTCACTCTCTTGGAGTGAGATTTCACTGTAAGAAATTTAGAGTGTATAGGTACAAGTCTGAAAATAATTTGTTAGTCCATCAAAATAATACAGAAAATATATTGTATATTGAGATTTATACTATTTGTATTAAAGACCTTGCATTGGTTCGTAGCTCCTTACGCATTATATTTTTAACTAATTTGAAAATATAATTAAGACCAGTATTCATAATCAGTTCTTATATTTAAGACTTAAATTCTGTTTTGAGATGTCACGAACCAATCAGAGGGCCGCATTAGTGTCTTAAAACGTTATTTATAGTGATCTTAAAAATAAGAACCGGTCTACGTTTAGTTTTAGTAGAGAAAACTCAAGCATGAAGAGAGCAATACTGCAAAAAATTTTGATATTCTTCTAGAATCTAGCAATTAGCTTGAGCGTTCTATATAATTATTTTGACAATGCAGTAAAATTTATTTTTCGATCTGTATCTAGCTAAAATTTTAAATAATTCAGCAAAACCATTTTTTTTTTCTGTGAATGATTTGTGACGGATGCAACTTCTCTTATTCTTTTTAAGCGCGCGATACTCGTTGGGGATCGCGTTATCTTCTGCGATAGGAACGTTAGCGACCACCAGGCATTCAAATTACTGGAAAATCATTAGACACGACCACAGAGAGTGAAGAGAATAACTCATTTACCGCTTCCATTAAAAGTTACGCAAAGCAAAATAAACTCTTTTGCCTCAACGTTTTCGTTGACAAGTGTCTCTCAACTCGAAATTTGATGAGAGCTCTCCAACATAATTCCGTGGGCAATTTGATAAAAGTCAGTGACTTTTTAAAAGGAGACTGTTGAAAAATAAGTCAAGATAGAAAAAAAAAGTTAAAAAGGTCACTAATTTATCAAATGCCACATATGCCAGAAAATGATAGTGTTTTCAAAAGATTAATTTGGTTTCTTCAGATATTTAATTTGCCAATTTTTTTTTAAACAGTAATATATGGCATCAAAATAATACGGATAAAATATTCATTTCTAACTAGATTTATATCTGACTCGTAACAAGCTGCGTACGTGCTAAATTAATGCAAAAATATTGCGTTGTTTTTCAACACATTCCCTTCTATCGACGTTTCTCTGAGAGATATAAATCACGTATTCCGAATTCGATCGCTCGTATTTCGATTATGTCGACTGTTTGCTCGTTCCCTTTATACGAAAAATCACAAAAATAGTTTTGCAAAAATATTTTTACCCTGAATTCGTAGCGTTCGATGTCGTTTGCATGATGACAGTAATATATTACGTCAGAAATCTGCAGAATGGCAGACGTCAACGTTTGATGAGCCGCAGTAGATAAATCAAAATGTCTGAAATGGTAAAAACGTGCTCAGTGAATTTGTTATGTCGCACACGGCGTCGATGATAGAGTATCGTTATCGATGAGCGAGATAACGATCGTTCAGAACGTCCAGCAGAAATAGCATCGCATTGCTACCGGGCTTTAGTATCGCGCGAGCCGTGAAGGTGGATTAAAAGTCATACTTACATAAAGGGAGCATGCAAGAGGACGAAGATGACGATCCCGCTCATGGTTGAGTTCTCGACGGACCGCTAAACTAAATCGTCGATCATCCGACTACAATCCCGCTGACGATTCTAATTTCGATCCTAGTTCTGTTAAAATAAAGAATAAGAGAGACAACTGAGAGATATAAAAAAGATAAGCCGATAAGAGATAATAGAAAAAAATTTTTCGTCGCGACTACCGTTGATTACTGAAGGCAGGATGAAAATGATCGTAGAGACCAAAGGATGCGTAAAAAAATAAGTGCGAGTCATTTGATATGGATGAAACTCGAAAAGAGTAGAGTTGGCTAAGCGGATAAAGGAGAGTGAAGAACTGAGAGAAAAAGGTAGTAAGAATTGAGGGAATTTTATTTTTTTCGTGAAAATTGCAGTCATTGACGGTACGACGCGCGTATCGAGTGTAAAAAGAGGCTAACTTTGTGAAAAATAGAAAAAAAAGAGGGGACTGGAAAAAAACGCAGACAGACATTCCACTTGTGAAGAAGAATTTGAATATTAGTATTCAGGTATAGCAAGCAGGTTTTATTTTTTTTTTTTGTTTTATCTTTTTCTTTATTAGTGCTGGGAAATACCTGATTATACATTGGCCACGTGGACTGGCTACAATCAAGATAAGCTCTTAGCAATAAAAAGAGAAAGCTAGATGTGAGAAAGAAGAGAAATGAAATTTCAAGCGAGTGGAAAACGATTGAAACGTAAAAAAGATGAAACGCATTAATGCAGAAAATTTATTTTTACATAGATTGAATCTACATAGATTGAATTTATATAGCTTTTTTACACAGATTAAATTTATTACAGAGATTGACTTGTTGACGAATGATAAAGATAATATTTTTAATTCTCTTCTCGAAGAAACTAGTGAAGAAATAAGGAAAATTATAAAAGTTCAGAAGGAACAAAAATAAGCGGAGTAAGTTTAGAAAACCTGAACAGTGTTTTTTAACGCAGACAAAAGATGAAGAAAGAAAAAAGCGGGCGTGGAGAGGTGAAGGACAACGGAATTAGCATAATTAAAGCATGAAATTTCCGATGACTGTGAACTAATCGCAAATAGAATCGGTTCTCAACGGAGAAAAAGAGACAATAAACAAGGAAGAAAAAGGACAAACGAAAAAAACTTTGTCGATGAAAGATCCTCGATAAGATGTCAAATTTCTATTGATCGTCTTGATCGAAATAAGTATAATTAGTTTTAAAAAAAAGATAAAAAAAAAACCAGTAAAGAAGATTGAAGAAAATAAAGAAAAAGAAGTAGAAAACTTTAAAAGTGGAGAACAACTGAGAGAACAACTGATTAAGTGACGTGAAAAAATTAAGGAATTGAAACATGAACGCGCGTTTGCACGAGATGGCAGCAGAAAGAGAAAAAGAAGAAGATGAGACGAGGGAGGAGGGTGGAAACATCATTCTTGGCGACGGTCATCAACAGCGAGGTCGTTGCTCCGACCTTCCCGACGACTGGATCGGCAAGGTGTCGGGTTACACTGGTGTCGATGCGCATCACATGGCGAGAGGAAGCGAGATCGATTTCCCGTCGCGCGAATTGTTGAAACCACCGCTGCCGCCGTCGTCTTATGGTCCAGCGATCACGTTTAACAATGTCTTACCCGACACTATTGTCGTACCCTCTCCCAGTATTACGTCACACGTTGGTGATAATGCTAGATCACGAGCTTGCGATATCGAGACGACATCTTGCTCCACGATGAGGTTTCCTTATGTGCCTGGTGCGATTTGCAACGTGACATGTAGTAATGCACCAGCGATGACGTGCAATGTCACTCCAGCGAGTGCTGACGATCCGGAGACAACGTGGTTCCGCAACGAAGGTCACTTGGTCGAGCCACAGTCGGGGGTTTGCACGGCGAACACGATGAAAATTTGCCAGCTGGGCTCAATTGACGTCGAGGATCTCGCAATGTACTTCGATTCACCGACGGACGGCTGCAAGCCACCCTCGTTGGGTAATCGAGCGATCTATTCGAAGAAATCGCGGTACGGACAGGTCGCAAGGATGGACCAGTCTCAGGAGCATCACCGCGATGATCTGAATTTCCGTGATCTACCTTCTTGCGATCTAACACCTAGCGATCTAGTACCCAATAATCTACAAACTTGCGATATGGGACCCAATACACTGGGGTATTGCGATCTGGGGAACAACGATCTACGGCTTCGTAATTCAGGATACGATGGCCCGCCATTTTGCGATCCAAGACTTGGCGATCCGCGATTTTGCGGTATTAGGCTGTCCGAGGAGCAGCCCCGTGAACCAGGACGACACAATCTGGGACGAGGCGACCCGGGACTGGGCAATTGGTTCTGCAACGACTGCCCGGAACTGTTCAATTTCTGCAGCGAGGAACGGTGGCTGCAGTGCCCGGCGAGCGATCGCTGTCCCTTTTATGACACTTCGTATGCTTACGATGTGCCTGTTTTACCGCCATGTATGTACGAGAATGGTTACAACGATAATTGGCATTACGACAATGCGGAGGACGAACAACTTCTCGAGAATTACTTGTAAGTCGGCGATCATCGTAATGTCCTTTTGTTCTCTCGGTTTTCATCTGCTTAGACCCTTCGACGTGTTTAATATCGTGATAGAATCACAAATGGTGAATGATTTTAATAAAATTTGTTGAAATTTTCTAATAATTTTCTTATACTGTTAGATATTAAGAGATACAAAAAACATAGTAACTCAATTCATTTCTACGGTTAATTTTAAAATAAACAATGTCCATATTAATACGCACTTAGTTCTTCAGAGTTAAATTGTTTTATTCTATTATTTTAAATTAAAACATTGAGTAGTGCGATCTATAAAATTGATTTAAAATAACTCAAATTGAGTATCATATGGCATAATAAATTATAAGATTTAACAGACTGAATCTATTTTTTCTTAAAATTAATCTAGACATTTTAATTTTAATTTTATTGAATTTTATCAATTTTCTTCTAATCTAATCCTAGAATCCAACTAGAATCACTTTAGTTAATTTTGATAAATTCGTATATTCTTTTATTCAGTAAGTTTTCATATCTTTTTAAGAAAAATTGGATTTCTTTAACTTTGAAATAAGATTTCTCAATCACTTGAACAAGTTAAACCGCTATTGCAAGAAAACTTTATTTGTTCAATTGGAGGAGGACTTAATATATTATTTGCAGTTTACGCAATATGGAACATTTTATATCAATTACGCGGTAAAAAAGAAAATGAATTGACAGTCCTTTCCTCACGATAATTTTCCACAACGTTTAATTACGTCTACCGTTCTATTGGATTAGTCGATCAGTTTGACTTTGACTGGAGTCCGCCAACGGTAGGAGGGCGATGAGGGAGAGAAAACGTGACGAGATCGTAGGATCGATTTCAAAAGCAATATCGTTCGAAGGTCGACCCGTCGCGATGATAACGCTTCGCTTAGCGATAACGTCGACGTTTTTTCTCGATTAACGACCGAAAAGATGCACCTTCCAATCCGCTAATAGCTGCGTTCTGGAGCAATGACAGTAATCTAACACACTCGAACTCATAGGATTGTTGTGTTTAAAATTAGGTTGCTCAGATGATTTCTTGAATTGAAGACGAAATTGATAATTTTATAAAATGTTGAATACGTCAGATCCAATCAAATAAGTTCAATTACTATCGAACTACTATTTAAATGTTCTCTTTATCTCGATACACACATATATATATATATATATGCGCTTAGTAATCGAATGCAGCCTTGCTTCGAGATCAAGTAGCGTCTGCAGCTGCATAGCATGCATCATGATGCATGGTTAGCGATCAATACAGCGTAATATTGAGTTGACGACCTTCAAGAATCAAGCAATGAGACTATAGTCTGTTCTTTTTTCACCCCAAGTTCTGAACTGGTGTAATAAGTTAGAGTGAAACAGGTATAGTTTGTTTTATTCTAACTTTAGTTCAAAACTAGTTTATAATTCTTCGAAAAAGAACAGATCTCGTTTATCGTGCGTGATAGCGCACCTGACATTACACTTGTCGCTTACAAGGTACTTCAAGATGTCTGTTTACGGAAAAAAAGTCTAGAGATAGTCAGGAGAGCTCTCGTTCATGCATGATTCATTTTACGTGAAAAATGAAAAATGATATATCTATATATTATATTCCGAAATCAACATTAATTTTTCGGCCAGTTCTACGTTACGTGCATAGATGTTCTTTATTTTCCACCATATTTTCCCACCAATTATCATGACATTTTTGAAAATTTGCGTTTTGGCAAAGAATGTTAACCCTCAAGTAATGTATCGTCGATATTTTAATTGTGAATTTTGTAAATGAATTTAAATTTAAATTTATAATAATCGGTAAAATACAACCCGACTTCTATGATGATAAAATTAATAGTATTAATAGTAAAAAGCTGTAATAAGTATACCAAAATTATCTCAGATTTTTATTGTATATACCTAATCCAGAATACAATGAAAAATTTACTCTATTTCTCGAAGATCTCTTTGCAAGCGAAAGAGTTAAATTCATATTGTTGCCAAAGGATTAAAACATAGTTTACAATTTATTAGCATATTTTCCACAGATTCTATAATACAGGTTTATAAAATATTCTCAAGGACCAAAAATTGCGCAATCTCCATAGAAATAATATCGGACTAGCTTATTTCGCAGCCGCTAGACGAATTTTTCGTATTATTGCAGGAGCAACGAGAAGAGAAAGGAAAGGTCTCGCGATGCAGCGCGTTGTAGACGTAGCAGAGAAACCGATATCTTCACTGAACTTGCGGCTGCTCTTCCGGTCGCGCCGGAACAAGCAGCGCTCTTAGATAAGGCCAGCGTAATGAGGTTAGCGATTGCTTACCTCAAAGTCCGAGCTGTCGTGGATTCCAGTGAGTATCTATGAAAGCATCTGAATGCCCGTCTTCATCGCTGCAACAAAGATGTTTCTTTCTTTCGAGATATAAAATACGATACTATTCAGCTAGAAACATAGAAATACTATTCAACTAGAAGTATAGAAATATATTTGTTGCAAAATATTTAAACGCGGACATAAACACAAACATTTCAAATATATTTTAATGTAGAATACTTTACAAGAGTTTTATTCTCACTACTTTATAAGAGTTTTATTCTCACAATTTTATAGTAAATTTACAATTTTATAAGTCAGAATCCTATAATAATAATAATATATTCTTAAATAAATTTGTAGAAAATGTGTATCTTAAGATACTTAATTTATTTGAACTTTATATCATAGAGATTTCCTTTCATTAAATATTATCGATTAGATATAGCCATTTTTGATTCTTTGAATCAAAGAGTTTGATAAGCGTGGGTTTTTAAAATAGTTTCAGATTTTGAATCTAGATTTTAATATTATATTTTACGATCTTAAATAATTTTGGGATTTAATTAACGTCGTACTTACTAAATTTATGAATCTTTTAACATAAGTTCCAGTTACACTGACAAAATCCGAGTCGTCCACAAAGATGGATGAATTATTTCCAAAAGCTCTCAACGGCTTTATGTTAGTACTCTCTAGTGACGGCAACATGGTCTATCTTTCAGAGAATGTCAGAGACTATCTCGGAGTGTCACAAGTACGTTAAATGATCAAACAAACTTTTATAAACATTAACTATAATTATGAGAAATCTAAACTGGTAAATGACATAAATGAAATAATATTTAATGATTTTGAAACAATTTTTATATTTTAAGTAATGTCATCTTTTTATATTTTAAGTAATATTATCGTTTTAAACATTTTTTTAAGAATTTTCCAATAAGTGTATAAAATTATTTTTGATAAATTTTATATTTATAATAGATTTAAATGAAATTATGTTATGTTTCAGTTAATTTTTATTTAGTTTTGTTGAAAAATACAAAAGGTGGTTACGAGTTTTTATTATTATGATTATTCGCTGCACTTTCCGTCGAAATTCGGGGAGAGTAAAACTATATGCTTTGCATAGATGGATATGATGGGACAAAGTGTATACGAATACAGTCATCCCTGCGACCATGATGAATTGCGTGAGTGCCTGTCTTCGAAGTCGGCGGATAACAATGAGAAACGTACCTGCAACTTCTTCTTGCGACTCAAATGTACTCTCACTAGCAAAGGCAGGAAGGTCAATCTGAAGAGCGCTTCTTACAAGGTATATATTAAAATATGAAAATCCTTTTATCTATTCTAATAATATAATAATAGTATTGTTTGTCGCACGAAACATTGAATAAATATTAATTTGACAGAGAAAGAGAGAAATAAAATTACAATAAATTTAATGGAATATAACTTATTTTATTCTCAAATAATTACTATATAAATATAATTTATTACATACAATAATTTGTATTTTTTATAAATGTAAAATATAACAACACATGTATACGCATAAAAGTAAAATCAATATTATATAATCGAGTAACAGAATTTGCATAAGTTTTCGCAATATTTTACTTTTTATGCTTATCTGAATAGATTTTTTTTATTGAAACTTTTTTCAACTAAATTAGCTTGTGAATAATATATTCGTGATTGGATGTTGACAGGTGATTCACTGCACTGGCAGATTGACAAACATCCGCGACTCAAACTCGAACTCTATGGAAGTTGATAATGAAGAGCGACGCAAAGAGGATGAGGACGTGGGACAAGACACAGGCACTTCTCTAGTGCTCGTAGGTAGTCCTATACCTCATCCTAGTAATATTGAGATACCTTTGGGACGCCATACCTTTTTATCGAAGCACAATCTTAGCATGAAATTTACCTACGCTGACGAAAAGTAAGTAAATAATGGAACTTATTATATTTTTATCAGTCTCTTATTCTTATGTTCGACACAGTGTGGATTTTTTAGTTCATGTGTAAATCCACAAAATAATTTTATTTGTTACATTATTATTTTAAAGTAGTACAGCTTGACTCGTCATTTTCATTATCGTTGGCTTGCATAATTAGCGCAATGATTGAATACCTTTATCGTTCTTATCGTTATTCGATAAGTTTTACCTTGCTTATCGTACATAAGATTCAAGTATGATTCTCGTGACGCGTATTGTATTACAAATATATATAGTATTTTCAAAACAATTGAATTGCATTATTGAATATTATTTTGCGTTATATCACTGGGAATATTTTTTGTCTCGTTTTAGATTAGCCGAATACTTGGGCTGGAGCAGTGAAGAGCTGATGGGTCGATCAGTCTTTGAGTTTTATCATGCACTTGATAATCTTGCGCTGGACAAATGTTTTAAATGCCGTAAGTATTCTTTACTTTTCTCTTTTTACTCAATTTTATATTTATTTAGTAAAACATGATTATTCGATTACTAATTAAAATTTTTTTTAAATATCTAAAAATTGCTTAAACATCCATCCTCGATTTCTAGAGATCCTTTTATCGTTTCTTTTGTTTACGAAAATCAATTTCTGTAAAATTGATTAGGATCGTTTAATTGCGAAAATCATTTAATCTTAAATTCTTTTTGTAAATTTTTATTCTTTCTCTGGTATTCAATAATATTTTAATCGTTTGATTTTCTGGAGTGAATTTTAAAATTCCTAAAAGAGTCATTCTCATATCGTAAGAAATTCTATTACGTGCGAATTACACGTATACAGTGAAGCATAAAACAAAATGGTTGTTAAGTGGCAATTCGTGTAAGAACTGTTGCATTGCTATTTTGTCTGAAGATTGGTCAAGGTATTACGTTGTACGCGAATAATACGGATACGAAACGTGATAACCATCAAAATAAACGAGATACATAAAAAGCTTTGGATGAAAGAGAAACGCGGGGCGACAGAGGCGGAGAAGTGGCTTACGGAATGGATCGACCTGGGTGAATGGCCGAGAGGAAAAAAGATTTCAAGGACGATCATATCTCTTATCGGTTGCGACGCTACCCGACGACCTTTTTTACGGCTTCCAGGGAGCGCAAACTAACGCACGACTAACGTTATCGGCTATTAGTTATGCAATTATTGTATCTTCCAACGGTATTTATGAGCACACACGTAACTTTATCGTGTCGATTTCGGTAATTGACTCATAAAACGGCAGGTAGATAATGAAAAATGAGATGTAGTGACAAAGTGCGAGGCTATAAAAATGTCGAAAGATATTTATCGTTTGACTGACATTTTACATTGAGGTACAGTCTGGAAAATTATCCTCGATGATGTATCAAGGATAACACATCGCGATTGAGTTATTAAACTAAAAATAGCATGTAATAAATATGTTCTGTAATAGGAATCTTATTTAATAAATATTTTATCTAACACTTAATTGCCAATATATGTAAATATTACATGGCATTAGATATTCGAAAGTGACAAATTAATCATAAATAATAAATATTTTGAAATTAAAAATGGGTAAATTTATTATCGATAAATCTCAGTCTGTAATGTAGCAGATATCTAAATTTTTAAGATTTTTTATTGATGATAAAATTTTAATATACGCAATAAAATACGTACTGACGTACGATTGTAAGGGACGATTTAGGAGGTTCACATATATATTCGAGCAATCCGCAACGTTATCCCTTTAACACCAACCAGCCTCGACTTTCCGGCCGAATCAGCTCCCGCACTAATCCCACTTTAGTCGTTTTTATGAGAATGTAGGGAGGTACATTTCTAGAAACGAGATAATACGTTTCTCGAAGAGGTTGGCCTGAAGCAGCCTGAAGCGCTAGAATGTGCGACGTAATCTTACGACGGAACCGCAATAAAATATTTTATATCTCCGTTTCCGAGTTTATCAATCTCGCAGCTTACAAGATTACGAGAAATAGTATATTTTGATAATTTTTTTAGATTGTATACATATGTATGTGTTAAGGTAATCTTTGCAAAAAATGACAAATTGGAAATTTATCCATATATAAATCAATATTATATACGTATAAAGCAGATCATATTTTATATAATATTCACAATATAATTTTATAGTTTAAATGACAATTTTTTTTATCTTATCTTAATTATTTTTTAAAACATGTCTACCTTTATTGAAATAATAATTTTTGATACAAGTTCTAAATTATCGCCAAATATTTTATATTTTCAAATGCAGAAAAATCTGTAATTTTTTAATAATTTTTTTTTTTGTAATGCATCCTTATTATTATCAACTATTTTATTTATATTTTTTTATTTATTAATAAATCTTAGTTTTATTTTTATTCGTCGAGTTAGCATTTATTGACTACATTTTATATCAGTGAAAATATATTGCAAATTATTTTGTCAGAAATTTTTAATTTTTAGATTCTCTTCTCCTTTTATAACAAAGTTCTAAATCTATCGAAGCAGCAAATTATTCATCGTTGCATTAAGAAATTATCTTATATCTTTATTCTTTTTGGTCGCCAATATGCTAATGCATGGGTGTATTCGACAATCCCATGCTGATCGATAAAATTTGTAATCCTATGCCACATGTTTCGTCAGCTGCGCGCGACTCGGCGGTATAAAATCGCGCGGATGCATTCGCATGTTCCGAGTCCTAGGATGATCGCTCTCTCATCAACATCGTTGTACTGTTTCAGTGTTCAGCAAGGGCCAGTGCGAGACCGTAGCGTACAGATTCCTTGGCAAGCGAGGCGGTTACGCCTGGGTTATTACCCAGGCCACCCTAATCCACTGCTCCAAGCAGCAGAAGCCAATCTCTGTCGTCTGTGTCAACTACATCCTAAGGTAGGATCCGCTATTATCCTCCCTGTTCGGTGCTGGTTTACTCTTCTTCATACCATCAAACTGGAGTACCTTCGATTTCGCTTGTATCTTGAATTAAGCATGGCTGTATTCTTTTCATTGCTCAATTGTTACATTAGAGAAGTTTAATTAAGTCTTACATTAATTAAATTGTATGTATATCGATCTGATTTCATTTCCGATGAATATTACTTTATAATTGATTCATGCGTTATTGCAGGAGCTATGTGGAAGTTTAACGATGAACAAGTGAAACTTTTTGATTTTTATTCTCAATTTTCCTAAATTTTCAATTATTGTTAAATTCACAATATACTTTAAGTAATTTTTATGATCTAACTTTAATTTTAGTCAAAATACTTCCTGAAGTTTAAAGTGAATTTGAAGTAAGTTATTACGTCAGATTATGTCATTAGCTCTGTTTTTTTTTCTATTGAAGAATAATTTTGAAATTACGACGGAAATGAAATCCAATCAATTCTTTACATTTCTAGTATTTTGCGCCAACATTTCCTAAATGATACTACAAGCTTACGTCATATGTAATAACAATTTCGCAAATCACGTGGTTTTCGATCAGGTCTCTACGTTCATTAACTCCGCAATGTATCACGTGAGAAATTAATTTCCATTATACTTATCGTGTCCTTGATCGCGCGCTCTATCAACTGAATTCTCTTGCGTAATTATCGAATTGCGTGAGAATTCGCAAAATTGAAATAATGATATGTTATACTGAAATTATTTAAAAAATATTATAAAGGAAAACAACTATCATTTAATTTTTCTTTTTTTATGTATTTTTGCGATAAAAATTTGGCTTTTTTTTGTCATAATTTTTATGAGCATTTTTAATGAGTCAATTAATTTTTTTTTATTAATACACGCGACGATGAACAATTCATACGTTAATATTCAAACTCATCGTTGACCGATTAACCGGATACGCAAATTATTTCCTACTATTACTGCTACTGCGGACACGCTACTTCCGGTAACTTCCGGCGAAGGCCGCGACAGAGTCACGCGAGGTAAGTGCTCTCTTGATTTTTTCGGCGCAGATTCAACCCTCGATTGATCGCCTAAAACATATTAATTCTAATTTTACTTTTACAAAGGAACACAACTACATCCTCCAACTATCTCCCTCCGATTTTAATGTTAAAGTATAGAGAACTTTGAATGTTAAAGTATAGAGAAAAGTAAGAGATGTGTATTTTTTATAAGTGCTTCTCATACATTAAGGCGATGAAGCTCCCTCTAGAAAAAAATAGATTTTTTCTTGAAAGAATATCATTTGAATCACTAAAGATATTTATAGAAATTGTAAATAAAAGTTGAATGGTTTCAAGAGTACTATATAATAGTAATAAATTTGTTAAATAAAACTATTATTTATGCAAAATAAATATTTTTTTATTGTTGTAAAAACTTTTAAAATTATTCAACTTTTAACTTAAACCTTTTTTTATATCTTTAAATGATATTTATTCAGAAAAAAAGCAATCTATTTCTGTCAAAGGTGAGTTTCTCATCTTAGCGTGCGAGAAAATACTTGTACAGAAAAATACATGTCTGTTATTTTTTCCTATACTTTAACATATCCAAAGCTTATTAAAATATTTTTTTTGTGTTTCTTTGTTAGATTCACCGAAATAATACGAAGACAGAAATTTATTTGTTTGATTACGATCTTAATAATAATGATTTAGCTAATGAAGCAAATAAGAAGAACGCGTTCAAAAATATTTCCTAATTAGAAAAACCATTTCAGATGATTCTAAAAATAACTTTCTAAATTTTCTCCGTTCTGTTCTTTTATTCTTATAAAGTTTCAAATTTTCTATTAATTTTTTTTCGAATATGTCTTCGAATATCGTATTATTCAAGGGTTAATCTGATGCCTTTTAATGCGACAAGTTAGCCGGATGCTTTCGTGTAATTTTTTTTCTTAGCACGCCGGTTCTCTTCTCGCATTTGATGCTTTTCGCATGTCTGTCGAAGGTACTCCGAATATTCGCGGCTTCCATTTGAAAAGGATACACGAATTTTACTCGGACATTTTATTGTGGAAGATCACAAGAGACATTAAATTACCAATGAACTGTGTCCCTCTCGCCGAAAACAGAACTCTCACTATCAAGGATCGAATGGATGAAACGAATCTCCCTCGCGGTTTGAACGTTATTCCCCTTCTGGGGAATCCATAACATGCGCCGGATTTCCCGGAATTGCCGATCTCTCTCGAAGAGAGGAAAACGAAGAGAGTTTCGTGATATAAACCGACCCCTTTTCCATCCCTATCTCGGGGCGGTGGCTGTTTTCATTGGTGGCTGAAAGGTGGTTGGTAGATTCCGACATTATCTCTGACCCATCCCCTTAGACGCTTCCTATTTTCTCGGATATTTCGTTCCATCCCTTCGCCATCGTTTCTTCCCCCTCTTCTCGACTTTTTCGCACTCTCGATTTCGTCGGAGGACGCGCATACCTCCAGTTGGTTTCTGCCACCGGAAGCGGAAGAGTTCGTGAATATTGTAGGTATCAGTCACATACATTTCTTAACATACATTAGCCCCGATTTTGTGAAGTGTAATTGTAATTTTTATCGCAAACGGAAAGATTAACATAAGTCTACGTCATGTGAATAATATTAAACAATTACGTCAATCTTTCCTCGAAATCCTATTACCATTTAATGATTTTAAAATTCGTAAAGATCTTGTTTCAAATGAATTAACAAGTTTAATGGTATTTATTTTTCTAGTATGTTTTCTGTAGTATTTGTTTTCTTATAATTTAATATTCAATTACCACTTTAAATAGCTACGTGCGTTGATCGCAGTTCTTTCTCGTGATATAATCGTTTATATATTTTTAGGTAAAGCTCGCAATGCCTCGTCCGTACTACTATTATTACTGCTAACTAATTAATCTGCTGCACAGATCGATAATTAACGTCCATCCAATCGAATGCTCGCCGAGGCCGAATGTGCGTTCCCCTTCAAGCTCGCACAAAGCAGCGCACCGTCGAGGTGGAAAAGCTGACGCTTGCGCGTCGCGGTATATAACTTCGTTCCTCTCCCGGTCGAGTCCGGAACTCGTCGATACCCGCGTGCGCGTTCAGCACCGATCGTCCGTCGTGTACGTCGACGACCCCCGACAGTCGAACGAAAGCGAGAGCGGTCGGCGAAAGTGTTGTGTCCCGTATGTCGCGCAAGCTCAGTCGCGATCGCGACGGTGGTTGAAGTTAAAAATCCGTATGCTGTCGCAAGTAAGTCGATAGATACAACGAACGATGTCGTGAAGATCGTAGGAGAAAATTCGTCGTAAATGAAATACGTGGTCAGAGTTGTCACAAAACTGAAAATCAGACAAAACAGGGAACGGTCCGGAAATTGCAAATTTTCTGCAAATTTAAAATTCTTGGCTTTTAGGAAGTTCAATATACTTACATCACGTCTACTTTGGAATATTACCAACTTGACAGTCAAATGCAAGCAGTTTATTATTAGTTATTATTAGCAGCAACATTATTAGTGATTTATATTGCTATGTTAAATGGCTCTCTCGATAAAATATTTGATGGTTTTCAAATCATGACGAAAGTACAAGAAATTTTTAAATATTATTGAAGCACCGGAGAGAGAAAATCATGAAATTCTGTTTGAAAATCAATAGAAAAAGTTATGGAATTTTAGGTACTGTAACAATCCTAACGTTAATGTTTTCATTCTTTTATCTTGTATAATGATTTAATCGACGAAATAAGTTGCAATGAAACAAGCGCAGCACGATGTCAGATTACAATTTAAAACTTTAATAAAGTTTAACAGGAAATTTTTTTTATGCGGAATGCAGAAAGATTAAATTAAGATTCAAATTGATGCCGACAAGCGCAGGAAGAGATCGTGCACGATACTTTTCTCTAAGGAATATTATACGTATTCGCATTGCTGTCTGCCGAAATGTGATATTATCTTCCGCTTCTCGCACGTGTCTGACCGGTTTTCCTGCAAGAATCCTCGCGAGGATCGCTTTTGAAAGCTGCTAAGCGTGAAACCACGACTTCCCGTTCGACGGGAGGCATTGCATTGCATCGCGTTAGCTCACTTGAATGTTACATTAAATTATACAATCAGTATATCTATTCTAGCACCGATAGCTTGGATATATCGAGTAAAAAGACCAATGAGATTGTCATTCGAAAGTAGAAGAGAGGGAAGACTGTTGTTTTTGAATCGTAAGATGTTGATTGTCCTTGCAAAATATTGACATTACAGAATTATAACAAGTGCATATATTGTAAAAAAAATTACGTGTGTGTATAATGCATTAAAAACAGAAACTCCTTATCTATTAAGAGAACTGAAGAAACATGTTGAACGTGCTTTGTTCCGATAATCGCGGTATTTTTTTTTTACAATGAATATTGACGATGCAGTAAGAAATTAGAACGTAGAAGTGCGTCAAGCATAGATAACGTACATTACCTAACTAAAAGTAGAAGCACTTTGAGCCACTCTATAGGATATACATGAAAAGATTACTGCCATTATAAAAGAATTTTAATTTGTCGCTTTATCGTTTGTATTGATATTTTAAATATTTAATCTTTTACAACCTTATATTTCTTTCATTAAATTTTACTTACAAATATTAAAATATTCTTTGCAAGAACTTTCTGCAGCAAAAATCCATGCCTTATGTATTTCTCGTTAACCTTTAAATAGCGATCTATTTTTAAAATCTAACAGCTAAATCTTACAGCTTTACTTCTCTTAAGTAAAATTTGTTATAATTCATTATTTTTTTATTGTATTTTATTTCCTACAAAATAATGGAATTGTTTCACCAACCAGCGCCACTGTAATGGTTTTTCCTGTAAATAAAGATTAAATTATTTGCTCAAATTATTCCATATATCAAACGCTTTTATGCATGAAAAATGTAATATATTTTCCCCTTATTAATTTGAGAATTCA